ACAGCCACACTTTTCCTCTACCTTAAACAATCACCCCCACTCAAAGGCTTCAAAGCCTTCCTCTCCTCCCAAATCAAGAAAAGCACCCTCTGGGCCATATGGAAAAATAGATGCGACAGCACCTTCGAGGACCGCCTTGCCACCCCAGAAAACCCACTCATCACCATCGAACAACTAATTGACACCGAGATCCACGCCCTCTGGAAGAAACAACTCAATCAACTCCCCACCGACCCCGACAAAAAAACTGAAAAATTCAAAAAGTTCACAACCTCTGAACTACGAAATGGTCTACTAGGCACAATTAACAACGACAGACCCGTCCTTAAAAATTGGCTAATCATGGCACAGCCACAAAGCACCTCTACAACTCCACTAACCCCGCATAACCACCGTCAAACCAGCCACTCACCACTAACCCACAACCGCTGCAGTAAAAACCCCTCTCTCCCCAACAAATCCACTTCCCCCCACCCCCAAGCGACCATCCTAATACCACCGTCCTCTCCAACCCCCCCCCCCCCCCCCCCCCCCCCCCCCCCCCCCCCCCCCCCCCCCCCCCCCCCCCCACCCCCACCCCTCTCTCAACCCCGCACCCCCCGTACATTACATAGCACATTGTGCCTACCCAAGGACCCCAAACACAGCTATACCGAACCCACAGCACCCATCCCACAGAGAAAATCTTCACCAGATCTCAAACAGACCACTTCCCATTCTCAAGCAATACCTAGAATACAAACCAGCCCCAGCAACCATTACATGCATAGCCAGCAGCTACAGTATAGAAACGGTCACCAGGATCAGGCTACAGACAAAAGACATTCAGTGAGGGTTTAGGGTTTTCGCACCAACCAGAGGAGAAGAGTAGAAACCCAGTAGAAAAGGCTAAAAAAAAGTTCAGGAGGGTGTGGTCGGTCCACGAGAAGATGGCTGACATTCAAGCACTTCAGATCAGGTAGGACGAATGGCACAACTCGATTACTCCCCAAGGAACAAGAGGTTCTCTCCAGACTGGACAACAGGACTTCAGGGCAATGTGAGACCCTCCAGAGTCAATTCAGTGAGCAGCCTTTCTGGATCTCTTACACTATCGCATGACTTCCAAGCCACAGGAGGTGGGCCAGGTCTCTATCAATGGGCTATCTCTGCTTTCCTTGCCTTATTTGCTGTAGCTGACAGGTTCCCATGGGGAATCTGAGAGGGAACTCAGGGATAGGGAAGCTGACAGTCAATCCTCCGTCAAGGAGTAATCAATGCTGGTCAGGGGTCCAACGGCCATACGGACGGAAGCGTGAGCGTGTACCATGATGTATTCAATTTTGACTTGCCGGGGGAATAGGAACCGGACTGATGCCTCTCTCTCTCTCTCTCTCTCTCTCTCTCTCTCTCTCTCTCTCTCTCTCTCTCTCTCTCTCTCTCTCATACTCTCATGCTCATGCGCGCACACTTTTCCACGATCTCGATCAATATTTATTATTTAAACATTTGTGTTTTGCATTCTCACTCTTTCTTTCCCTCTCCTTTCTCTCCTCACTAAGTGAACCCAAACCTTAGTCAATCGAAAAAGAATATTTCAACGAACTAAAAGACAATCCACAGCGAAGGCAAGCACGAGTAAGACAAAATAACAACAGTCACTCAGGAAGAAAAGCACGAAAACAATATGCCTCTCTCTCTCTCTCTCTCTCTCTCTCTCTCTATCTATATATATGATGAGTCGGTGAAACTCCGATGAAACAGTTTGTCACAGCCCCTCGTTTGTTGTCCTCTTCTCCCTCCCTGCCTACTTTTTACCGGGCAGTTCTATTTGACGATATATATATATATGAAACAGTTTGTCACAGCCCCTCGTTTGTTGTCCTCTTCTCTCTCTGCCTACGGTTTACCGGGCAGTTCTGTTTGTGACGATAGTTTGTGACGATATATATATATATATATTCTATTTGACGATACATATGAAACAGTTTGTCACAGCCCCTCGTTTGTTGTCCTCTTCTCTCTCTGCCTACGGTTTACCGGGCAGTTCTGTTTGTGACGATA